TTTGCACGAGTTTCGGAGGATAAATACCTCGTAGCGCGTAACTCCTTTCATATTCAAGATATATCTGGCTTCCCTGGCCACTCCACGGCTTCACACTTTTGACCATGGCGGAAATGCTTATTATTTTTCCGGAGTAAAATTTTCCCTCTTAGAGTAACACAACAAACTTATCACATGCTTCAATCGCTGGATTAAATAGGCTTTTGTTGTGGTGCAAATTGTTTCCATTTTTTTTTTCAAAGCAGACCTACCACAACGAAAGATATTTAGATTATTAATAATATAGTTGAAAATAAAACAAATCTACTCAAATCACATTTTTTTTTTTTAGAATTTCATCGAGAACCTTGGAAAAATGGATGAGACTAGGAAATATAATAAAATTACATGTTGCTTCGGCTCAGTTATGAATAGAGCACCACGTTGAAACTATAAGACAACCATAATGAAGGTTTCAAAGGTCGTTGAAATCACAAAACTCACATCAATTTTTGCCAATCAATGAACAAAAAATTACCTTAACTTGTCACAACCTTCAAATCCCTATACTTCCTCTTACAAATCTCATCCCGTCCAGAGCAGTGTTAATCCCCTGAGGAGCAAAGAAAAGTGACCCCAAGCTACGGTAAATAGAGAAATAGAGTCAATTTGCATTCTTTCTTGGCGAGTTTGTTCGCACTACAGATATTACGACACAAATAAAAAGTAGTTTTCTTTCTATTCAATTTCGCTCAGGCTGATGAAATTTTAAAATCTGTAAATGCTAAAGAAGTTCATGTTGTTTGACATGCGCGGATTTTTCTCACTGTTATGCGATCATGAGAAAACCTGTGACGCTTGTAAAACAGGAGTTACATGAACGCTTTAAACCACAGGTTAATGGGTTGACATGACACCAGACCACAATGCTCTGCTGTCCGGGTCAGCCGAGTTTTCGGGCGCATTGCTCCTGAAACGTGACGTACACATGACTCATGTTTTTCAACGTATACAGGTACTGGTAATTACATGACATTCTCACACTCAGCGTGTTGGATGCAATACTTAAAATGGTTTCATTCTGTTCAACACACTCCATAATTTTGAGCAGGTTGCCTCTTCGACTTCTGTTGTACGTACCTGATAACAGTTCACTTATTTCTCTTAACAAACACTTAGCCGGTATGCCATAGCTAAGGCGGTTCGACGCTGCATTCTCATCTCGGGGCCCTGCATCAAATCTCGAGTGACTTCATATGAGTTTTGTGGCAGATTAAGTAGCATTAGAGCGGGGTTTTCTTCAAGAGATTTTCGGCTTCCCCCCCGCTAATCATCATTTTACTACTCCTCAATACTCATTTATTGTATGACAGTCCAACGAAATTTGCGATGGTCCTCGCAAGACAGCACATTAATACAGTCTCGGACTTTAATTTGGGGGCTTAGTGACCAAACGTCATTATGCTGGTCACAGAGTAATGAAGGCAAGGTCCACTAAACTATGGACCTCGAAGATACATACTTTTTAGGACAAGAAGCAGGATGCACTAGTCTCGACAAGAAAAGAAATTACGATAATTTGGATCAGGTAAAAATAGTTTCATCGAAGAAAATCTTCATACGTGTAGAAATAATTGAACTGACACATCCGCTGAACGGGTGGTAGCAGATTCCGAAAAGCGCTTTAACGTGAGCCTCAAGAGAAAGAAGGAGACTTGGAGGCCTTCTTAAACGTAAGTCCGGAGACAGGTCTAGCGTCCTGATGAGCAGTACTGAAAGAATCCTCTCAATTCGCTAGCCTGTGACGACTGAAGAACAAAGGCTGACAAACTGGTAAACTTCTGAATATATTCGCTAATTTCCTCTCTCATCTTTTCTTTATTTCTTCAACTAAATTTGAATATTAACTCTGAACAGTAAATGGTATCTTGTATACGTGTTATATCATACAAGAGGAAGTATTTCTGTGACTCTATGTCAGGAGGCTACAAGTGGGTTTTTGCAGACATAAATTGCAATGGCTTGGGTTGAAGCGGCTTCTCTTTTGGAGAAATGTCCGCAAAGCAAAGTTAGTGTCTGAATTGGGAAGGGAATGGAAATCTGTTGACCCCTAGAGATGATGATGATGATGACGACGACGATCACTACGACTATGACCTTTTGTCTGTGGATTCATAATTGTAAATGTTGCGGGTTTGCTCTTTTGGGTGATCCAGATATCGGTCACGCATTCCCCGTGTTGCAGCTGTGTGAACAATACTGTGTACATTTATCAGAGCGACTGAATAGACATGGTGGGCCATGCCATAGAAGCTGACGATAATTCTAAAGCATATCATTAGAAAATGTTGTTGTCGCCCGCGTTACCTCTGTTTGGAGTTGACTTTCCTGAATTTTTGGTTGATATGTAAATAAATAGCCGTTTTCCATTTGAAGCAGAAGTCCTGGCTCTTTCCTCAGAATATGGTTGCTTTCCATTGTCAATTCCACAATATACTGTAAAGAAGTAAAACTATCCCTGTAACAGTCCATGAAGGCCCATAAAGTTGTGAGACATAGAGGGGCCCACATTATCTAGACAATCGGCTCAAAGATGGCGGTAAGGTTGTCAGCCTTACGGGCCGGCCGCGCTTTACTCCCTAGGAAAATTATTTAATTAATTCCTGGTACTCATTTCTGTTAGAGGCTGCGTCGACCTCAGGGACATAGTGCGGCCGGAAGGTTTAGGTCAATTGAAAAAAATCCAGTGATCTCATCGGGATTTGAACCCTCGACCTTCCGGCTTGTTGCATAGCCCCTCAACCAACTACGTACGATATCAAAAACTGCAAAACAGTAATAACATTAAAAATAAGAAACGAAAGGCTACTAGTGCGTCAGTTTACAAGGCTACATCAGAAGCATGTGTGCGTCTAATAACAGTGTTTCGTCTCTTTTGTTAGGTTAGTTCAGGTGCATTTGTGGTTCTGATAATACCGGTACCTCAGTTCTCTGCTTCCCCTGCAGCGCAGAAGGTGAAAGTTATAACAATCCCTCGTCAACAGCGGGGGTTATGTTTCTGAGCAACACCGCTGTTAGAAAGGTCAAGGCTAATGGAAAATTGGCGGTTAAAGGAAGACGGCCGCTGTTAGTAGTCACCATCTAACTAGATTCCCTGTTCCTTGACTAAGCACAAAGAAACTAGGTCTGTGTGCAGTAACACGTTTAAAAAGGGAACTGGACGCAACAATTTTTTATTGCTAGTGGGGTGGGACTAAGTCCCTTGCACTGCGGCCACTTCTGGCCTATTGTACCGGCCCCAAATGATAGGTGAGGGTGATTGTTGAGCAATTGGTGCCCCAGCGCCACTTTGTCCACCACAAATCCCACTTGGCCAGACCCGGGATCGAACCCGGGCCGCCTAGATAGGAAGACAACGACTAACCGCTTGAGCTATGGCGCGGCCCGGACGCAACATATAATGCAGAGTTGCAAGTCAAAGATAAGCTAGCCTGAAAGCTAGAAAACTGGTTTCGGAATCTCTTTTTGCGGAAGTCACCGCGGTTTTCCATTTGAGCACAAACGAAATACCGCGAGCACATAAAACCAATGTTTTTTTTTCTGGCGACACTCAGTAATACTCAGCATAGAGACTTTATTTAAGCAAGGCAAGTAGGCTAAGCATGGACTTTAAGTCGTCTAATTCGTTTCACGAATACTATCATTTCATTCTAAAGAAAAAAAAACTGGGCTACACCGGATACGAATGGAGAACCGCGGTTGGCAATGGTTTACTGTACTTCGGACGTGCTGTAAAATGTTGGTATTGACATCAACTGTGATGATCTTATTGCCCCAGATATGCATTACTTGCTCCTTAATGATGTGTCTAATTGTCTTTGATCATTCATAATTACTTTGGAAGTCAGATCTGTTGCGTGCTGCTACATAGTGCTCCATCAAGTTCAAGTGTACTAAGCGGAGCGCAGTCTGTAATAGGGAGGTTACTGTGACTAACATTTTTGGAAACAGAAAGATTTCAAAGCATAAAATTTATGCCTTTAAAAGTTGCCATGTTGTTCTGTATTTAAGGTACAAACTATATAATTATAGAAGCCGGTATAGCGTAGTCGGTATAGTGACTTACTGCGGAATGTTCGACTGAGGGGTTGGAGTTCGAGTCCTGGTAGGGTCAAGAATTTTCTCTTCTCCACGTCGTCCAGACCGGTTCTTTGGAGCACTCAGACTCCTATCCAATGGGTACCGGGGGGGGGGGGTGTTTTCCGGAAGGGAGCGGGGTGGGGGCGG